CACGAACTTTCCTGCACCAATCACGGTAGTGATCAGAGGTGTAAACTCACACCTCGTAAGTGTACCCATGAGCATGCGCCTGCATTTGTGTGTGCCCTCGTGGACATGCATGCTTGCACATGAGCGTGTGTTTGCAGGGAGCTGGGCTGAGCTGAGGTGTCCCCTCAGACGCAGTGTCCCCACAGACACAATGTCCCTAGGCATGCATGCTTGTGCCTGAGTGTGTGTTGACCTTGCAGGGAGCTGGGCTGAGCTGAGGTGTCCCCTCAGACGCAGTGTCCCCTCATCTTCTTCTTGGAGGATGAATGAACCCCAGTCTCCATCAGTGTATGCTGTGGGGAGGGAATCAGGGGTTCCTTGGTAGAACTGGGAGTCAAGGTCAGAACACGAAGGTATCGACAGGATTTGTGCTTTGGATCCCTCAGGGCTATGACGACGCATAGGATTTAGCTCTACCTAAATCATCTCTTAACTGTTTAGATTTAATTTACTCTTAAAAATGTGTTTATGTTTTCATTTTTTATTCCTTTGAAAGGCAGGCAGAGACCTCGTCTCTGCTGGTTTGCTGCTCAAATGCTTGCAGCAGCTGGGGCCGGGCAAGAGCAAGGCTGAAGCCGAGGGCCTGGAACTCAGTCCAGGTCTCCCACGTGGGCCACAGGGACCCAAGTCCCTAAGCCTTCACTTACTGCCTCCCGGGGTGTGGTTGGCAGGGAGCTGGAGTTGGGAACAGGGCCAGGGCCTGATCCCAGGAATTCAGATCTGGGATACAGGCATTCTGAGTGATACCTTAATTACTGTTCCCCAAATTCTCCCCTTTAATTTAACCTATTGCCTGGAGAATGCGTGCTGGAATATGGCCAACATTTAAACTAATAAAAAACAATAAAGACCAGTTTCTAGTCGGAGGTTTTGTTTCAAAGGAGAATGCATACCATTTCTTCTTGCAGTCATGTCATGGTGTGCGTCCAGTTCACTGTTAACTAGAAACAACTAAACACATCGCAGCGCTGGTTAATGAGCTGCACGTGAAGATGCTTAGGGAGAAATGAACTGGGACTGCAATGCACCTGCAAAATGGGATTTGTGAACAGGTGGACAGGTGGTTAGACATGGGACAAAGTAGGCAGAGCAAATTGGGTGTTTTCCTGGGCAATTATTTCAACTTACCTCTATGTTGGAACATCTTCGTAGCAAAACCTTGAGCTTGAGGTACTCAGCCGCAGTTGCAATGTGCAGGAGACTTCAGAGTTTGAAGTGCCCACGCCTCTTTGCTTGGCCTTCTAGTTCCTTACCCGGAGACAGGTACTTTCCAGTGTCTTGTGCGATCTCGCGTGCTCTGCGTTCACACAGCTATGTGCCCGTGTGCGTCACTGTGTAGGTGCAGTCTTCTAAACGTTTCTGGGGAAAATGGAGAAGTTCGGGACAGGTATTTGGCTTAGCAGTTAAGACACTAGTTCAATGCTCACCTCCCATTACCAGAGTGCCTGGGTTCAATCCTTGGCCCCGACTGCTCACTCTGACTGCCTGTTAAGGCAGAACTTGGGAGGCAGTGATAAGGACCCACACAACTGGGTTCCTGCACCCACACAGGGGGCCCTGCTTTGGGTTCCTGGCTCCCAGCTCTCGGCCCGGCTCAGCCCTCGGCTGTTGCAGGCATGTGGGAAGTGAATCAGCAGGTGGGGGTCTCTGTCTCTCTATCTCTCTCTGTCTCCCAAATAAATATATTTTTAAAAGATGCCTTTATGTAGGTGAACTTTTTCTGGAAATCCATGCATAGTGTTTTTGTAATGCACATCTTCATAAGCTTTAGGGTAGCCGCTCACACGCATACATCTTAAAAATTTTGTACCACAGTAAGTTTAGCTTTCAGTTCCACCTTCGGTCATCTTTTGGAGTATACTTGTATTTGCGAATAAGTATTTTTTTCACACATGTGGTAATTCATTCTGCACATCTGTTTGAGTCTTGGTTTTGATTCTTGTGATAAAATTTTCCCAAAGCATCGGTCAGTATGTGCCTGGCTGGTGGTGCGTGCTCCGAGCTTGTCAACTCTTGTCCAGTGGTGTGAGGGGTTCACTGTGACAGCTCTGAAGCCTCACCACTCCTTCCTCCTCCGCCAGCCTCCTCTCTACAGAATCCTGCCCGGACACGAGGCAAGCTCTTCCAAAAGAATGCAAGAATGATGGCCAGATTCCCGCCAGCCTGGGAAACGGTAAGCTGTTTATGGACGACCATTTGCCACCGTCTCTGCCCAGCACAGACATTGCCCTGGAAGGAGAGCCAGGACCAGCCCCCAGTGGGTTGGTTTTCCTTGCATAAGCTGCCCTCTTTCCTGCTGCCTCCTCCTCCTCTTTGCTAATTCCCATCGCCGACCACATGCTCTGACCTTTGCTGCATCACGCTCCGTGCTTTGAACTTGGCTTGATGTGCTCAGAGTAAGTGTTTCTGTTTGACAGTGGGTTCTCTATATGAGTTTGTTCATCTTCTGTCTAGCCTTTTAGGCTAGTTCTGGGAGGGTAGGAACCTCAACCCTTGCTTGCTGACCCCTGGGAGCAGAGCTGATGGATACTCTGTGTGTCAGTGGGAAGAAGCATTTCATGACCAGAACCACAGCGAGTGAGCACTTCAGGGTGGAGCATATGGCTCAGATTTGGCCAATGACGATTAATCCTGGCACTTCTGTTTGTTTCAACACCCAGATTGTCCAGTTAATACCAGGGGAGCCTGTTGGGCCCTTGCAGCAAATTTTGGGGGACGCAGGAGCTTCATTGGTCCAGGTTAGGTCGTATGTCAGCCCTGCAGTCAGCGGGAGGTCCCTGCTTCTCCCTAAAGAGAACGGACATAGGGACAGAAATTGTGGCTCTCACCTGAGGGCGCTGTCTGCCCAGTGGCTGTCAGAACTGGAAGGGTGGTACTGCTGATGTGCAGCAGGCCAAGGAGGCCAGAGATACCACCGAGGACAGCTGTTCCCAGTGGCAGTGTTGCCACGGCTGCGAAACTTGGTACAAAGAAGGCAGATCTGCAAAGGAAGAGCACAGGGCAGGGTCCAGCCCTCCTGTCCACTGGGTGGAGCTGAGAACCACTCCGGGCTCTGACCAGCTCATGCCAGCCCTTCCCCAGCCACTAACAGTAGTGTGACCTTGGCATAATCTCTAACTCTCCGTGCCTTGATTTCCTCCTATGTGAAGTGGGAGTGGCAAGTAGCACCACCATCATAGGGATATCACGGGGACTGAGCGCACACTGTACTGACCCAGGAGCGAGCCCTTAGATGAGTGTTTGTAACATAAACCCTCAAAAGCGTCCATCCTCAAAACTTAGATGCACTCTTCTAACCCTGACCTCTGACCTGTTGCCCCCAATTTTGAATTTGACCCTGATGAGCGGAAGGACTAGCTCAAGTTCGTTCGCTCTGAGAAATAACAGGGGCTTCCTGGCGAGGACGCCGACGTCAGTCCAAGCCAGTCTCCAACGCGCCGTAACCGGTAGGTTAGGCGTCTTGGTGGGAATCACTGCAGCCCTGATTTCTTGTTTTGTGTTGGGAAAGAGGTAACGGTATTTCCCAAAGGGAAGCAGCTCTGGCCTCTTCTGTGCTCTGGCCTCCGGACAGTGGTGAGCGGCAGCCAGCCTGCTTCCAGCTCTTCCTAAGCGGCAGCCTTTGTTATGGAGAGATACTGTCCTCGGGCTCCTGTCTAACCCTCGCTGCCTGAGAGGCAGTGCTGTGCTCACTGTCCCCACCACTGCGGAAAGGGCCACAGCTCCTCTGAGGCTGGGGCAGGTGGCCCTGACGCCACAGCTTCACCCCGTTCTGCGGAGAGCTTGCCTCAACAGGACACTAACGTTCTCTTCATCTCTGTTTCTCTCCTCCGTAAGCTATTCTGTTGCTTCAGCCTTTAGTTCCCTGTGGATGACTGCTGTTCTGCTCTACCTCTGCTTCAAGACTCAGCTTGCATTTCGCCTCCTCCATCCTAGGACTCTGAAACACAGCTGCTTGCATAGATGGAGTCAACTCCTCCCTCATGTGACCATTGGTGCGTGAGCAGCGAGGGCTGGGGAGTGGCAGCCCAAAGAGTTATCCACCCAAGCTTCTCTGTGCTTCTCTGTTCTGTGTACTGGTTAGAACACAGAAGTCACACGACCAAGTCCAACTGCGAGGAATGCTGGGAAATGCAGTATCCGCTGGACAGCCGTAGGTTGACCTGTAGCTTCTATTATTAAAAAAAAGGAGAACAGGCATTGTCTGCTACAACCCTGGTTTGCTAGTTAGCTTATCCCCAGGATCAGGCCACGATGGATACAGGGTGAGTCAACTCACTGTCCAAGCCAGCATCTCTTTCCCATAGACGAGGGCCCTTGTGTTTTAGACAAATATCTTGAATAATAGGGAATCATTTCTTGAGCACTGACCATATGGTTAGGCAGTAAGTTAATTGTGTTTTATTGGCATTGGCCCACTTAGTCCTCACAATAACTATGAAAGATACTGGATATTACAGCTGATTCCTGTTCCGGATATAAGAGGACAGGGGAATTTGGTATGACCCTGAAAGTTCATCTTTCTGGCTCCAGCGGACTAGCCTGGATATGTTCTTCCCTTGACATTGGTAGAGATGAATGGGTATGCTAGTGTAAGAGTGAGCGCAGACGAGAGAGAGAGAGAGAGAGAGAGAGAGAGAGAGAGAGAGAGAGAGAGAGAGAGAAGGTGAGAGTACTAACTATGCAAGATTTTCCGAGTTTCCCCTTAAGTCACATTTTATCAGCATCCCACTGGTGAAAGCATGTTCCGTGGTCAAGTCCAGGTTCAGGATAGGAGATTACTGCATATTTACGTGGGAGAGACAGCAGAGACGGGGCAGGGTGAGAAACTGGGAACGTTTTTGCAATCAAACAGAATGCAGAATCCTAAACACGTCTCAAATGGGAAGCACTTCTGACCTCCTCTTGAGGACCAACTGAGCGACCAGTCCCTGGGTGAACAGCACTTGGCTCTTGTGTTACAGGCACCAGTGCTCTTCAAGGATGTGGCCCTGTACTTTACACAGCAGGAGTGGAAGCTGCTGAGTCCTGCTCAGAGGGACCTGTACAAGGAAGTGATGCTGGAGAACTATGAGAACTTGACCTTCTTAGGTAAATACAGACTCCCACACTCAACCCGGGCTCCTGGGAGCCTCTGCAAAGTTATGCATTTTTCAGAAGACTTGGAGGAGTTATGCACTGTGCCTGGGCCCAGCCCCTGAGGCTCCCCTGGTGCTGGATTCATCCTAACACTGGCTCTGCTCTATTCATGGTCTCGGTAGAAGCACCAGTGACTCCACTTCTTGAAGCACTTACAGCAGGAGCAGCAGAATGTGCTACTGCTGGATATCACAGTGATATCGTATGCAGCCCTGATTCTTTTCATGACTGGATCGGTGCCAGTCATGTGACCACAGCCAAATCGATCATGGCATCTTGTAAGTCTAAGGTCTCAGGAGATGGTGTCAGCTTTGTGGGAACCACACGGTTCTTCATCAACAGAAATCTGAGCTGGTGAGAGAGGGAGGCAGGGCAGACGTGGACGCAGCTCTCTCTCTACATGCCCATTAGCCGTCCTTTGTGTAAACAGCTGGGCTTCTTGCTATGCCAGCAGCTGGCTTGGAAAAAAGATTCTGAGAGGCGTGCAATGTTTCTTTCCTTCTGTCTAGTGGGTCATCCAGTTTTCAAACCAATGTTAATTTCCAACTTGGAGCAAGGGGTAGAGCCTTTTATCAAGAAGCGCGAAGCTGGCCCTGTACACCACAAGCAAGATGCTGAGGAAATCAGTGTGACCAGATCTGCGTTGGGTGAGTAAAAGGCACACCGTCGACATCCCCACAGGAAGTTCTCCTAGGTGCCCATCGGGCCAAGGGGTTTGAGAGAAGGACGAAGAGGTGTTGTCCGCTGAGAATCTCTTCCTTTCATGCTTCCATTGCCACACTTCTTTCCTACATGCTTTGCATCGGGCCCCTTTAAAGATATGCATTTATCCATCTTCATCTTCCAAACAAGGGGCACACACACACACACGTGGGAAGAAAGACAGAGAGGTTCCGTTACACCGATTCACTTCCCGAATATCTGCCATGGCCAGGCCTGGCCTGAGCCCGAGCACCAGATCATCACCTGCTGTCTCTCAGGACGCACCGACAGGAAGCGGAGGACTGCGTCCCCAGACCCTCCTCCAAGAAGAACCATTTGAATGCATGAGAGGATCGACCTGGAAAAGCTGTTTCCTGAATTTCTTTTGTGCAGGTTAAACAGCTGTAGGAATTCAGTGCATCTGAACAATATAAGTTTTATTAGATCACAGCTGTCTGTATATATAAAAGAAAGAACATTGCTTAAATACCACGGCTATCACACGCCACATGCTGAACCTCAGGAACGTAGAACATTGAAAGTTCTTTTTGATTGACGATGCATGCATCTAATATAAGTCTCAAATAGCAATAAATGATATTTGCCCAAAAAAAATCAGTAATATTCTTTCTTACTTCCAGCCTCCACTTCCCCAGTTTCATTTTTGTTGCTGTTTATAATGGATGCACTTAAGCCATGTCTTAAAGATGTTGTCCAAATCAGCCTCCAATGGCATTGTTTCAAACCCACCTGGATGATTTAAATGAAAACCAGGGCATTGGCAAGGCCTTTGTGTCTAGTGCTAGCTGCTAGAATGAAAACTGAGATGGCTTGCAGATAACGTGCATTTGTTTCTTGTATTTGTGGAATTGATGTCCAAGGGCAACGTTCTGGGGGAAGGTCCGTCTTTCTAGTTGCAGAGAGCTGACTTTCCATCGTGTCCTCACACGGTGGACAACAAAGTAAGGTGTGACTCCAGAGCTCTCTGTCCTCTGCTGGTAGGGTCAGTCATCCTGTTCATGAGGGCTCTATGCTTGGGCTGCACCTCCCAGTACTACTACTTTGCAGGTTATTAATTAATAACCTCCAAAGTTAATGTTCTGTAGATTTGTTTCATCCATTGGAAAGGTAGTGATAAGAGAAAGAGACAGAGAGATCGATTTTTCATCTACTAGTTTACTTCCAACAAGCTTGTAATAGCTAGTGCTGGGGCTGGGCCAGGACCAGGGCCAGGCTGAAACTAAGAGCCTGGAACTCAATGCTGCACCATAACACTGACCCCCCCAAAATGTGAATTTCGAGTGGCAACAGTTGATAAGAGATGTGGAACAGCTGGAACTCTTGTAGACTGTTAATGGGATCACAAGTTGGTATAGCTGGTTAGGAAAAAAACAACAACCCTGTTAGGCAGTCTCCACTAGACGTCACATGTATAAAGTTAGCACCACAGCAATCCCACTCCTGGGCGCATGCGCACGTGAGGGATGCACAGGGAGACTCACTCCGGCTCTACTCAGAATGGCCCTGCACTGGGCTCTACCCAAAACACCTACCAGCACCTATGTATGAAGCGAGTATTGTACAATTTTTAAAACTGCTGAATCTTCAAATTTTCAAATGTTTAATAAGAAAGTGAACCAGCAGAGGGAAGGCCTCCTCTCCCCCTTTTCAGTTATATAAATAAACACTGTTAAAAATACATATTAAGATATATTTATGCCACAGAATACAAATGCATGACTTAACAACGACACAAAATGATGGCTGTCACGCAGGTAACACCCAAGTGCAGGGAGCCACATGGGAAAGGCTAGGTTCTACTGGGTGACAACGGGACAGTGGGCAGGAGCAGGCAGGGCTCATCAGCACTGGGCGAATGAGTCCGTCCTGGCTCCAGTGCTGGCCGACCGAGGACTGGCTGAGAGTGGAGTGCAGGCTCCATCCTGCACACATTCTGCTCCATTCTGCTCACATTCTGTTTCTTCATCTTAACTTGGCAGCTGTGGGCGCAAATGTGCAAAGGGAACATTCACCAAAACTGGACATGCTTTTTAAAAACTTTTCTGCGTGGTATATTTCCCTAAAACACTCTGAGTAAAGAAGTTTTACAAATAATGATATGAAACAGAGATGTACTCTCTAAATTGTTTTTTTTCAGACAAGAATAAAGGATGTCAAGAGAAGGCACAACTTCCGAAGTCGGGCAGCTCACGGACACCAAGGCAAGAGAAGGTGCTGAAGCCGACCCAGGGCAGTGCGCCCTTGCGCATGAGCACAGAAGCAGAAAGTCAGGACAGGTCATCTGTGGATGAGAGGAAATCCGGCCCAAGTGTGGCTGCAGAGTCTCGCCAAACCAGCCCACCTGGCCAGGAAAGGCACGAACCCACGGCCTTGGCGACCCCATCAGGTCACACATCAGCAGTCATAGCAAGAGCGGGTACCGCTCGAGGAAAGGAGATTCCGCAGAACGATGGGCCTGGCAAAGCCCAGAATGCAGTGCGCGTCACCAAGCGTCGCCAGACTGCCAGGAAGGGGAAGAACCACTTTAAGTGTCGGGAATGTGGGAAGACCTTCAACCAGACCCTGCACCTGGTGGAACACGAGCGCATCCACTCGGGGGAGAAGCCCCACAAGTGCGACGCCTGCGGGAAGTGCTTCCGCCACAGCTCCTACTTCTTCACGCACTACCGGATCCACACGGGGGAGCGGCCCTACAAGTGCAAGGTGTGCGGGAAAGCCTTCAACAGCAGCTCTACCCTCAGCAGTCACCACCGAATCCACACCGGGGAGACACCCTTCAAATGCAACGAGTGTGGCAAGACCTTCAAGCAGAGCACCAAGCTGACACGTCACCACAGGGTGCACACCGGCGAGAAGCCCTACAGGTGCAATGAGTGTGGCAAATGCTTTGGCCGCAACTCTTCCCTGAGGGACCACAAGCGGATCCACACGGGAGAGAAGCCGTACTGCTGTCAGGTGTGTGGAAAACACTTCCGGGTCAACTCACACCTCGCGGAGCATCTGCGGCTCCACCAGGAAGAGCAGACCTTCCAGTGCAATGAGTGTGGCCAGTTCTTCCGGAACGGCTCCCACCTGTTGGAGCATAAGCAGCTCCACGTGCCAGAGATGCGGGAGGAGTGCCTGGAGTGCGGGAAAGTCTTCTCCAGCAAGGAGGCCCTCCTCCATCACCAGAGAAGCCACACGGAGGAGCCCTTGTACCACTGCCAGGGCTGCGGCAAAGACTTCCGCTGTAAGTCGAGCATCCAGCGGCACAAGCGGCTGCATGCGGGGCAGAAGCCCTTCGTGTGCTTCCAGTGTGGGAAAGGATTCACGGACAGGACCACCCTGAATAATCACCACAGAGTCCACTCTCAGGAGAGAACCGATCCCTGCGGGAAGTGCGGTAAATCCTTCAAGCACCTGGCCTCTCTCATGTCCCACCTCCGGATACACGAGGATGATGAGCCATAGTCAGTGCCCCAATAATGTGCCAAGGGCTGTCAGCCGAAACCTCACAGCTTTACAACCACTAGAGAGGGCAGCAGATGTTGTCTTTGTTTCACATCAGAGGTTGGCTGATGGCTGGATAACTCTCAATCGTCAGACAGTTCCCCCCCTTTCCACATCTGGCACATTTGTGCCATGTCCAGTTGTCGACACTTCTCACAGCTGGCCGCCATGGACAGAAACGGAAGCTGTTGTTGACACCTGCTGCTGCAGGGGCAGTTCCTCCACATCGATCAACAACCTAGCAGCAAATGTCCTTGGTGACCACTTCGAGAAGCTGAGACTAAAAGCCCTGTGGGAAACTGACTCTTACAAGGAATTCGGGTGGAATCTTCTGTACTGTCCAATAGAGGAGCACCAACTAGATGCGGATGCTTAAGTTTAAATGAGCCAACAGAACATTGAAAAGACACCCTTCACACTCGAGGTTGGACATCTCGGTGCAGTTGGAGACCGTTCTGGCCAGCACCTGTTTAGACTCCAGTCACTCCATTGATCACACAAGCATGTCCAAAAAAAAGCAGAAAAACGGTGTATAGCTTTGAGAAACTGAATTTATACTCTCTCCTCACCTCCAGAATATGGCATTTCCTACACACGATCTGGAGGAATGCGTCCAGGAGTCTCTGGTCACTTCAGCTCTGAGAATTTACCAGCGCTTCACCGCAGGGCCACATTTTCATGCCTGGAGCAGAACAGCCAATAGATTCCTGACAATATTACTGATAAATAGCAAATGTCTACTGAGTACTCTATTCAACAGGCATGGTGCTGATTTTTTTTACGGATTATCTTCATTAATTCTTATCAGGATCCCATGAAATTGGAACTATCTTTTTTTTTTTTTTTAGAAAGTTGAGGTTTTTGAGAACTTTTTGCTTTAAAAAATGCCAAGTCTTCACATGAAGTGAGATTCCATTGCTAATCCAGGTGTTCTTTCTGTATTGTACTCCTTGAAATGGATATGACTCAAATTATTACCTAATGTGCCTTTTTGGAAAAAGTTTCCTTGTTTACATTTCTATCTAGACTACTCCTGAACACAAAGAGTAGTTTGAATTTATTAACAACTGGAATGGGCACAAACTGGTGTTTGTGGGAAGATGGGTAATAGTGTGAAATCCCAACTGCGGCTTGCTGTTAGAGGTTTTGTTGGTACAGCCATGTCCACCCATTTCTGAACTGTCCCTGGATACTCTTGGGAATACAACAGCAGCATCACTTTGGGACAGAAATCTGGCAGCCTCAAAGCCAGGTACACCTGCTACGTGACAGGAAAAGCTGGCCAACCTCCTCTCTGAACGACAGCAGAGCTGACATGAACTAGGTTAGAGATCAACTCGAGGGCAGAGTCTCTTGAACTTTTGCACCGTTGAGTTGAGTTTAGATGTTTGGTGTTGGTGTTCAACATCCCCCTTCCCTGTGTTTGTGTGTGCACTCAAATAGTGTCTGTGCACACTTGGTAGATATGTTAAGTGAATATTCTTTACCTCTTTTCGTTTATTAAGTTGTTCATGCTCTCTCATTGCAAAATGCCAGCCACAGCCTCCTCAGTCAATCTCGTTAGCCATAACCCGGTGCCACCCACGGCTTGAGATGCCCTGGCAGGGCCACAGTCAAGCCAGGATCTGCATCTGCCTAGGGCTTGGTGGGCATGCGAGGTTTGGTTCCCGGAGGCACCAGGTGGAAATCCCCAGCATGTTCAACCTGTGGCTCTATGCTTGTCCTGGAAGAGACCTAGAGCAACAGGAGTGAGCATACGGCGATAGACTCAGGTGCTCTGGATTCTTTCTGGCCCCTTCTCATCGCTGGTCCACAGATGACCTGGGATGAGGGTGGAGAGACCATGGGTGAGTAAACCTGAGGACTCTGCTGGGGCTTTCAGTAGCAACCCTCTCGGGCTACATGGCCGCGTGTTTCTGTAAACCAGCTCAGGGCAGCTTTGAGGAGGACTGTGTGTGGGAATCTGTTTATGTAATGGTTGCTGTTTCTATCTGTGATTTTTTTTTGTGTGTGTATGAAGAATGGATTGGGGGGTGGGGAGGTGGGAGGGGACCTTCTTGTATAAGGATAGAACTGTTTGTCTTTTTATTTTTCACTTAAGCAGTTACAATAAGCAAGTATCACTTTGTAACTCTTGAAAAGGCCGGGGTTGTGCAATAGTGTGAAATCCCAATTGCAGCCTGCTGTCTAGAAGGTTTTGTTGGTACAGCCATGTCCACCCATTTCTGAACTGTCCCTGGACACTCTTGGGAACACAACAGCAGCATCACTTTGGGACAGAAATCTGGCAGCCTCAAAGCCAGGTGCACCTGCTACGTGACAGGAAAAGCTGGCCAACCTCCTCTCTGAACGACAGCAGAGCTGACATGAACTAGGTTAGAGATCAACTCGAGGGCAGAGTCTCTTGAACTTTTGCACCGTTGAGTTGAGTTTAGATGTTTGGTGTTGGTGTTCAACATCCCCCTTCCCTGTGTTTGTGTGTGCACTCAAATAGTGTCTGTGCACACTTGGTAGATATGTTAAGTGAATATTCTTTACCTCTTTTCGTTTATTAAGTTGTTCATGCTCTCTCATTGCAAAATGCCAGCCACAGCCTCCTCAGTCAATCTCGTTAGCCATAACCCGGTGCCACCCACGGCTTGAGATGCCCTGGCAGGGCCACAGTCAAGCCAGGATCTGCATCTGCCTAGGGCTTGGTGGGCATGCGAGGTTTGGTTCCCGGAGGCACCAGGTGGAAATCCCCAGCATGTTCAACCTGTGGCTCTATGCTTGTCCTGGAAGAGACCTAGAGCATCAGGAGTGAGCATACGGCGATAGACTCAGGTGCTCTGGATTCTTTCTGGCCCCTTCTCATCGCTGGTCCACAGATGACCTGGGATGAGGGTGGAGAGACCATGGGTGAGTAAACCTGAGGACTCTGCTGGGGCTTTCAGTAGCAACCCTCTCGGGCTACATGGCCGCGTGTTTCTGTAAACCAGCTCAGGGCAGCTTTGAGGAGGACTGTGTGTGGGAATCTGTTTATGTAATGGTTGCTGTTTCTATCTGTGATTTTTTTGTGTGTGTATGAAGAATGGATGGGGGGGAGGGCAGGGCAGGGGAGAGGACCTTCTTTTTGTATAAGGATAGAATTGTAGCTCTTTATATTCATCATCATCTTGTTGCTTGCAAGTAACTGAAGCTAAGCTCACAGCAGCTAAAGCCATAGTGGAGGAAGGAGATTGTGGACATGCGCATCTGTCAAGTTTCCTTGCTGGAAAGGTCTCTGATCAGCCTATCTCAGCTGCGGTGCTGCGTCTGCGTTTGCCCCACTTTCCACAGACAGAAGTGTCACCAAGATAGATGGATCAATGTAGGGAAAAGGCAGAGTGCTTTCCCCTACAAGCCCTGAAGGAAGAATCTCAGCGAGGCTGCTGTAATCCAGAGGGAGGGCTTGGGAGACCTGTGGGTCTGTTTTTCCTTTGAGCAGTTACAAGACACAAGTATCACTTTGTAACTCTTGAAGAGTCTGGACTTGTCAGGGTGAGATGCTGGGACAGGAGAACTGGGACCCCCCAGACCTGGGAAGACAGGACCCAACTCGAGGGAGAGTCCAGCTGATTCTTATCCCCCCAAGAGTAATAAAATTGTTGTCTGCACAGAAACTGCCTGTCCTGTTTCAATTGTTATTCTAAACCCTTGAGATCCAGGGGTCAGGCACTGGGGCCATGACTGGGGACTTGTCACAAGCCTCTTGAGCTGCCCAGTCCTTTTCCTGGTTCTGGAGCCACAGAAAAGCACTGAGCAAGGCCGTACCCGTCCCATCGGAGTCAGTGGGACAGTCCTAGCTGGCTGCAAAGGCACCCCTGCACCAGGACCGAGGCACTAATGGTGGCCACGTGGGCAGACCATGAGCAGAGGGCTGCCAGGGCAGACCCCGGCATCCTCTGGAGGAATACTGCTTTCAGCCCAAAGGGTGCAGAGTGGGGCCCGGCAGAGAGCCCCAGCCATCATCCCTAGAGCCTTTCTGAACCGCAGAAGACTCCGGGTCTTGGGGTTTCTGTGGACATTCAAAACACAGAAGGAAGAAGGGAGCTGGGGCTGGCACATAGTGGGTGTCCCAGGACTGGTGGACAGTCAAGGGAGGCCCAAAGGGACACAGGGGGTGGGAGACCAGCTGGTATATGGGGCCTACAAGGCGGAGTGGAGTTGGGGAGAAGGGGAAAAGCAGGCATGTGGAAGAGGCCGTTCTGGACTGTAATGAGATTCGAGGTGGGCGGGCTTGATTTGCCCAGAGACAAGACTAAAGGAGGGATCAGAAGAGAGTGGGCCAGCCTCCAGGATGGCCACAGGGACATGGTGTCTTAGGTCAGTGATGAAGGGGGCAAGGAGGGCTGCGGGATTTGAAATGTGAATCTGTGGGCACAGTAATCTTAGGGGGAGCCTGCAAGTGGGTTCTAGCACACCAGAAAGTCAGCCAAAGGTCAAGGCCTCAGGTCCGTGAGTGACCCCTGGGTCATAGGAGAGAGACACTGAGGGCTGTGTGTGGGTGTGGAGTCTGAGGGACCCTTCTGGAGGTGCCTGGGGTGCCGCAGAGGAGGAAGCATGAGGAAGTGGCTCAGAGACCTGCAGGTGACAGTGACCACTTGGCCGTGGTCGGGCTGGGAGCACTAGATGTGCACAGCTGGGCAGGGCCACATGATGATCTGAAATGCGTGTGCCTCCAACATGACTCCATGCTGTGTGCACATGTGTGTGTGGAGTGTGTGTATCTGGATGCCCTGTTGTTTGCTTTGGGGGGGTTAGACTTTGTGGCTGGGTCTCTGGATGCAGCTCTGAGTTTCTGGGATTACGAGTGTGAGTGTGTGAGTGTGTGTGTGTGTGTGTGTTTGAGTGTGTGTGTAGCTAAAAAGTCATTGTGTGAGTGTATGAGTCTGTGTGTAGAACTACTCTAAAGCCTTCCCAGCTTGCCAGTGAGCTCAGGA